TCCACTGATCTTACTGTGTTCTTCAGCACCCCAGAAACAAACAGTCTAAGAGAACATTGGAATGGCCTGTTAAAGTCTCATCCAAGGCATGAGCTTGAGGACAGCCCCTGTGGGGTTGAGGTGCAGCCTCCAAGACAAGGTATAGGCACTGGCCAGTGCGTGATAGATAGTGTTGTTTCTTCAGTAGCTGTTTGACGTGGGTCCAGGAACCAAGAGTTAGAAGTAGGATTGACTCTTCCCATCATTACTCCTAGTGGCCCACTTTCAGACTTTGTGCTTCTTGTATCAACAGCCTTATCCTCAGTTGTATTAGAAGACCCGGAGGGGTTGCGGGTAGGAGAAAGCATCTTTTTTTTTTAATATATTTTATTGATTTTTTACAGAGAGGGAGAGAGATAGAGAGTTAGAAACATCAATGAGAGAGAAACATTGATCAGCTGCCTCCTGCACATCTCCCACTGGGGATGTGCCCGCAACCCAGGCACACGCCCCCAACCAGAATCGAACCCGGGACCCTTCAGTCCGCAGGCCGACGCTCTATCCACTGAGCCAAACCGGTTTCGGTGGAGAAAGCATCTTATATAATAAAAGCGTAACATGCAAATCTACTGAACAGTGGAGCCAGGCCAGCCAAGACACATGCCAGCAGGCAGAGGGAGGGGACGGCGATGGGGTGGGGGTGGGGAGCAGCAGCGGCGACCAGCGGCAGTGGAGGGGTGATCAGGAGGGAAGGGACAGGGCCAGCCACTCGCAGGCTGGGACCATCCCCTGATCAGCCCAACAGGTTGCCTCCCGCAGAGGAAGGCCACCAGTGGTGGTGGCAGCAGTGGCTGTGGCAGAGGAAGGCCAGACTGTGGCTTCAGTCAGACATCCCCTGTGGGCTCCTGGACTGTGAGAGGGCACAGGCTGTGCTGAAGGAACCCCCCCTCGCCCCCCCCCCCCCGCTTCACCCTCCCAGTGCACGAATTTTCATGTACCGGGCCTTTTGTCTAACATAAGGGGTCTAGTGAACTTGAAACTATACCTACTAACTGGACTCTGGAATCCTATGCCAATGAACCAATAAGCAAAGATTATTCACTGGGGGTGACTGATGCTGATTGCCATAAAGAACTAGAGGTCCCAGGCCCAGTGATAATGGTAATCAGGTAATTACTACAACCACTGCCCAACAAGAGCAAGGTAGCTAAGGCTCAGATCTATTGGGATGAAGGTCTCCCAACCAAGCAACCAAGCCACACCAAAGTGCTGGCTGATGGAGAGGAAAATCTATAATGGTGACAGGAGAAGAAGACGATAAATGCCAATTTCAGCTTTGGGACAGCTGCAGCAATGAGGACACCCTTGTTTACATTCTTGCAGAGACTCTAGCTGACCAACTTCTTGATTGCAACTCTCTGGTGGACTGGACTTGATAGAAGACAAG